CTGTGGCACAGTAGGCAATATTACTTAACACATTTATGTTTGCCTGATATTTTATCTCTCCATGTTCTCTCACCAGAGAGAAAGGCGGACTGGTCAGTCTGTAAATCATTTTCGGTGAATTCCCCTCCCATACACTGGCGTACACCTGCAACCCCTGCAAAGCTGGAGGGCCCCAAATAATTTAGGCCCCCCACCCACACATACACACTCACCTATAATGTATTGAACATTAGGAAATGTCTTTTCAACCAATGTTGTGATCCCACACAATCCTGCCTTTTTCCTCTGGTTTTTTAGGGCATTTCTATAGAAAACGTGAAGTTCATAGGAGCATATCAAATATGGTGTCAGATGAAAGCTAAGGGTCTGTATTTTCCATCGTAAAGGCTTTGATTTCTGGATAAACAGATGGAAAAGGTGTCTTAGAAAACACCTACCAGAAAAAGTCTTAAACGGTATCAGAAATACATTAAAACACAATAATGTTGGCGTAAAGACCCCTGCCAACTAATTTCAACACTTCTATTTTGTTTTGGAGAAATTGAATATATATAACTTTAAGAAATATTGCCTTGTAATATCTTTAAGATATTTTCAAATGTATCTCCCTCATGTGGAGGGAGGATAATGAGAGTTCACAGAAGTAACAAGTAATGGTAGACTTACCTGTTCGTTATAGTGATTTTACTGATATCAATTTTGTTTATGAATTATTGAGTGATTAAAACTCGTAATTCTGTTACCAAATTGGTAATGGAATTACCAAAAAATCTGTAACGGAATTATTGCAACTGAATTGGCTACAATGGAAAATCATAATAGTCACAAACCACAGTTGGGTCACCTGCAACTACTGTACTCCCTTTCACTGGCATACTGTTATGTTCAGCTCATAACTGTTTTCTTTGTCTCTCTGTCGTCTGGTGGTCAAACCAAGTATTAAAACAGTCTGAGTCTGGACAACCCCCCTCTCTCTCTGCCTTACTCTCTTTCCATTTACTTTAACCAGCATCCTCACCCACTGAGCACCTATCGACGACAGATGTCCATGGACGTTGAAAAGTAGTTGAAATTTGCTCAGTCCACCCTGGCCTTGATGTTAAGGCTTACTGAAGGGCCAGACCAAATCTGAGCCTACAGTGCCTTGCAAAAGTATTCATCCCCCTTGGCGTTTTTCCTATTTTGTTGCATTATAACCTGTAATTTAAATGGATTTTTATTTGGATTTCATGTAATGGACGTACACAAAATAGTCCAAATTGGTGAAGTGAAATGAAAAAAATAACTTGTTTCAAAATATTATACATAAGAAAGAACGGAAAAGTGGTGCGTGCATATGTATTCACCCCCTTTGCTATGAAGCCCCTAAATAAGATCTGGTGCAACCAATTATCTTCAGAAGTCACATAATTAGTTAAATAAAGTCCACCTGTGTGCAATCTAAGTGTCACATGATCTGTCACATGATCTCAGTATATATACACCTGTTCTGAAAGGCCCCAGAGTCTGCAACACCACTAAGCAGGGGGCACCACCAAGCAAGTGGCACCATGAAGACAAAGGAGCTCTCCAAACAGGTCAGGGACAAAGTTGTGGAGAAGTACAGATCAGGGTTAGGTTATAAAAAAATATCAAACTTTGAACATCCCACGGAGCACCATTAAATCCATTATTAAAAAATTGAAAGAATATGGCACCACAACAAACCTGCCAAGAGAGGGCCGCCCACCAAAACTCATGGACCAGGCAAGGAGGGCATTAATCAGAGAGGCAACAAAGAGACCAAAGATAACCCTGAAGGAGCTGCAAAGCTCCACAGCGGAGATGGGAGTATCTGTCCATAGGACCACTTTAAGCCGTACACTCCACAGAGCTGGGCTTTACAGAAGAGTGGCCAGAAAAAAAGCCATTGCTTAAAGAACAAAAGAAGCAAACACGTTTGGTGTTCGCCAAAAGTCATGTGGGAGACTCCCCAAACATATGGAAGAAGGTACTCTGGTCAGATGAGACTAAAATTGAGCGCTTTTTGGCCATCAAGGAAAACACTATGTCTGGCGCAAACCCAACACCTCTCATCACCCCGAGAACACCATCCCCACAGTGAAGCATGGTGGTGGCAGCATCATGCTGTGGGGATGTTTTTCATCGGTAGGGACTGGGAAATTGGTCAGAATTGAAGGAATGATGGATGGCGCTAAATACAGGGAAATTCTTGAGGGAAACCTGTTTCAGTCTTCCAGAGATTTGAGACTGGGACGGAGGTTCACCTTCCAGCAGGACAATGACCCAAAGTATACTGCTAAAGCAACACTCGAGTGGTTAAAGGGAAACATTTCAATGTCTTGGAATGGCCTAGTCAAAGCCCAGACCTCAATCCAATTGAGAATCTGTGGTATGACTTAAAGATTGTTGTACACCAGCAGAACCCATCCAACTTGAAGGAGCTGGAGCAGTTTTGCCTTGAAGAATGGGCAAAAATCCCAGTGGCTAGATATTCCAAGCTTATAGAGACAATCCCCAAGAGACTTGCAGCTGTAATTGCTGCAAAAGGTGGCTCTACAAAGTATTGACTTTGGGGGGTGAATAGTTATGCACGCTCAAGTTTTCTGTTTTTTATTTCTTGTTTGTTTCACCCAAAAAATATTTTGCATCTTCATTTTAATTCCAGGTTGTAAGGCAACAAAATAGGAAAAATGCCAGGGGGGGGGGGTGAATACTTTCGCAAGCCACTGTATCATAGACGTATGTTTCACATTTGGATAGCACAGGACAATACAATACAGTACAATACAGTACAATAGAGTAGAGTAAAGAAAAGTAGAGTATATTGTACTGTACTGTACTATACTCTACTTTACTGTACTCTACTGTGCTCTGCTGTGCTGTGCTGTGATGTCCAAACTTGTGAAACATGAGGAGAATGACATTCATATCCATAATTATGCATTTCTGTGTAGTACAGATCAGGGACCCATGATGTAATTCCTTTACAGTAATTCTGTTACCGGGTGTAAATCCACTTCACTTACTGTAGTTCAATAAGAAACATAAATTTTTTCAAACTCAAGGTGCCATGTCATAGCTGACACCCCATTCTTTCTGCAGACATCTTTGAATCTTAATTCTGAGTTTTTACGTGGTCGCAAAAAAAAACTGAGGGAGACTTTACCGTAATTACGTTACCAAAGTTTGCATCTGCACAGTTACATTTATTTTTTGACATTTTTCAGTGGACATTTTTAAAAGTAGGCCTTGTGCATAGAGTTGTATGTTTTGTTAAACTTTTAAGTCAATGGTTTTTGTTTGGCATACATTTTAAAGTGAAGAAACTGAGTCAAAGCGTAATTCTGTTGCAGTGGAATTGCCATTTAATATTCTGAGTGGTGCAATTCTATTTATTCGGCACATTATCTTGTAACTACTTCAATCATGATGGCTGCAATCAAATGCAATGGGAGAGTTTGTTCTCTAGTTGGTTGATTTATCGCAGGCGTACCCGGGAAGAGGCTAAACTCTAAATCACCACAAATGTAATTGAAGTTTTATAAAAACAAATAGTGGCTCTGATGAAGAAACAGAACGTAATTCAATCTGTAGCTGTACTTTTTCACACAGTCTAGCCTAGGCACATTAGAATTCAACTCAGCATATATTTCACACTCCATAATAATATTTTGTAGCTATCAACATTCAAAACATGTCAAATATCAGTAGGTTCGTTAGACACTATGCAAAGTCTCATACTTGCCATTTCATTCACTGCTCTGCTCGATGTGAGCGTGCTGTTGGGGTGTACTCAGGGGAGGAAGTCAATTTGCATGACATATATTTATATTTACCTATTTATTTACCTATTTACAGTATGTGTGTCTTTGCGCACATGTGTTCGTTTGAGTTTTTGCTCCAGTGAATTACAGTGCCATTCAATGCCTGAAGGCCATCGTTTGGGACTAAGGCCTAGTGCTTAATGCGATGACTGCACAAATGCAGTTTTCCTGCTCGCTCTCGTTTCCTCCTCATTCCTCCTGTTCTCATCATCCTTCTCTGTCAGGCTGTGTGCACCTTTGCCTGTCTTTTGGGATGGCCCGTCAGTCTGTGTTTGGACTGTGTCGACAGGGGGAGTTGTCACCTGGGACCTCTGCTCTCATCTGTGTGTACCAGAGGTCTGGGATGTAGCTCAGTTGATAGAGCATGGCGTTTGTAACGCCAGGGTTGTGGGTTCGATTCCCACAGGGGGTATGAAAAATAATAATGTATGCACTAACTGTAAGTCGCTCTGGATAAGAGCGTCTGCTAAATGACTCAAATGTAATGTAAATGTCTGCTGGGCATAGGATCACAATGGATCTAAGACTAATCTTATCTCTACACTGTGTGGCTTAGCCCATCTGCTGGAGCCAGCCCTGCAGTCGTAACACGGGCTGATAGGCCTCTCTGATAGCTGTCCACCACTATCAGCTTGGCTCTGAAGTGTTTGGCTGGCATGCAGAGGGAGTGGAGCTCAGAGCTCAGCCACCCATGGGAATAGTCCAGCGAGCGACAAGGCTGCATTAGACACATTTACACTGATATGAGGCACCACACGGACAGGCTTTTTGGGTCACTGGAATCTAATCAAGAAAACAGAGAGATGGGGAGAGAGAGCAGTGAGGAGTGGGAGGAAATCATGTGATAAATACTGTGCTAACCAATACAGAATATTTCTTATTAAATGTAATTAAAGTCAACTCTGTGAGGGCTTAAGCAACGAGTTTGGGTTGGAGGGCGAGATGGAAAGGACGATAGTGAATTACATTTACGTGATAAGGCTCAGACACATTAATTAAAAAGGTAGCTAGTGATAAGGTTGGAGGAAAATTAGGGGTGGTGTGTGTGTGTGTTTGTGCATTGTGGCCATAATGTGAATGGCTTAACTGCTTAATTGTTTGTTCCCAGCAGTGTCTCTGTCCCTGTCTGCCTTAGTGGCTTTCTTCATTATTAATGAACCCTAATTACCAGCATTCTGGACATCTGTGCAGCCCACCCTGCTCTCCTCTTTCTATCACTCTCACTTTCTCCTCCAGTCAAAGGAAGAACAGAAAATAAGAAGGCAAGCTGTTTCCTCTCCATCGCTCTATTCATCACCCCTTATCTATTCCTCTGCCTTTCCTCACCTCTGTCCCTTCACCCTTCTCTGTCCCCATCTCTCTCTCCTTCTAAAGAGCTGTCTGGTTCTTACCCAACATGCATGCTTTTCTCTGTCTGTCCCCGTCTGCAGGAAGCTGTTGGAGGTGAAGGTCATTGATGATGAGGAGTATGAGAAGAACAAGACCTTCATCATCAAGCTGGGGGAGCCTGTGCTGCTGGAGATCGGACGGAAACACGGTCAGTGCAGACTCAGAGCCGTACGGGTGCAAAGGAGCAGCCCCATGTTATCTCTGTCAGTCTCAAATGTTCTGTTTCACACAATCAGTTATTGGAAAAACACAACGGCTGTATATAATGGATAGAATGGTAGTTGTGGAAGTGCTATAGGTTTTATTTGACCCTGGCAGTTCCATGTTGTAAGTGATAAGGTTGTGGCGCATAGAATCACAACACATGACATCCTTAACCAGTAATAGATTTTATTCCAAATATAGTTATGTTACTTTCTTTCTTTCTTTCAAACATTTTATTTGACATTTTCTATATAGATAAAACCACAATAACACACAAACAAATATATACACAAACTAATTTAATGTTCTCAGTGCCTTTTTCCTGCAACGTGATACCCATGAGAAAAAACATTTCAGTTTCCCCCCTCACAGAACTCTATGTATGATTCATTGGTATACAGTGAGGGAAAAAAGTATTCGATCCCCTGCTGATTTTGTAAGTTTGCCCACTGACAAAGACATGATCAGTCTATATTTTTAATGGTAGGTTTATTTGAACAGTGAGAGACAGAATAACAACAACAAAATCCAGAAAAACGCATGTCAAAAATTTTATAAATTGATTTGCATTTTATTGAGGGAAATAAGTATTTGACCCCTCTGTAAAACATTACTTAGTACTTGGTGGCAAAACCCTTGTTGGCAATCACAGAGGTCAGACGTTTCTTGCAGTTGACCACCAGGTTTGCACACATCTCAGAAGGGATTTTGTCCCACTCCTCTTTGCAGATCTTCTCCAAGTCATTAAGGTTTCGAGCCTGACGTTTGGCAACTCGAACCTTCAGCTCCCTCCACAGATTTTCTATGGGATTAAGGTCTGGAGACTGGCTAGGCCACTCCAGGACCTTAATGTGCTTCTTCTTGAGCAACTCCTTTGTTGCCTTGGCCGTGTGTTTTGGGTCATTGTCATGCTGAAATACCCATCCACGACCCATTTTCAATGCCCTGTCTGAGGGAAGGAGTTTCTCACCCAAGATTTGACGGTACATGGCGCCATCCATCGTCCCTTTGATGTGGTGAAGTTGTCCTGTCCCCTTAGCAGAAAAACACCCCCAAAGCATAATGTTTCCACCTCCATGTTTGACAGTGGGGATGGTGTTCTTGGGGTCATAGGCAGCATTCCTCCTCCTCCAAACACGGCGAGTTGAGTTGATGCCAAAGAGCTCGATTTTGGTCTCATCTGACCACAACACTTTCACCCAGTTCTCCTCTGAATCATTCAGATGTTCATTGGCAAACTTCAGACAGGCCTGTATATGTGCTTTCTTGAGCAGGGGGACCTTGCGGGCGCTGCAGGATTTCAGTCCTTCACGGCGTAGTGTGAAACCAATTGTTTTCTTGATGACTATGGTCCCAGCTGCCTTGAGATCATTGACAAGATCCTCCCGTGTAGTTCTGGGCTGATTCCTCACCGTTCTCATGATCATTGCAACTCCACGAGGTGAGATCTTGCATGGAGCCCCAGGCCGAGGGAGATTGACAGTTATTTTGTGTTTCTTCCATTTGCGAATAATCGCACCAACTGTTGTCACCTTCTCACCAAGCTGCTTGGCGATGGTCTTGTAGCCCATTCCAGCCTTGTGTAGGTCTACAATCTTGTCCCTGACATCCTTGGAGAGCTCTTTGGTCTTGGCCATGGTGGAGAGTTTGGAATCTGATTGATTGATTGCTTCTGTGGACAGGTGTCTTTTATACAGGTAACAAGCTGAGATTAGGAGCACTCCCTTTAAGAGTGTGCTCTTAATCTCAGCTCGTTACCTGTATAAAAGACACCTGGGAGCCAGAAATCTTTCTGATTGAGAGGGGGTCAAATATTTCCCTCATTAAAATGCAAATCAATTCATAACATTTTTGACATGCGTTTTTCTGGATTTTGTTTGTTGTTATTCTGTCTCTCACTGTTCAAATAAACCTACCATTAAAATTATAGACTGATAATTTCTTTTTCAGTGGGCAAACGTACAAAATCAGCAGGGGATCAAATACTTTTTTCCCTCACTGTACTATTTATGCTCAGATCATTCATTTGATAAGTAAATTACATTGCATTTTTGTATACCGGTACATGTTATATAGCAGGAGGTAAGGATAGGTTGACATTGAATTGTTCCTTTGCTTCACAGGAGACTCCAATGACAACAAGCCAGCAGGAACTGATGAGGAGGAGGTGTCCAAGATGGGCTGTCCCAGCCTGGGAGAACACACCAAGCTGGAGGTGGTGATCGAGGAGTCCTACGAGTTCAAGGTAACCTACAAAACCCTCTCTTACGCACAAATCCCCACCCCCCCGCAAAATCATATTTATTAAAAGCATGTCCGCTGGTTAGAGAGATCAGCCTTTGCCCTCTGTTAAATATTACTAAACAAACAAATGTAGTAAAAAAAAATGGGGCAAGATGACATTGCACACAGCATAAACATCAGACCAACCCTGACCTCATCCACCCCATACAATACTTCTCTATCCATTCTATGTATTGATAATTCTATTTTATGATAGCTGAAATCTGATTGTCATTATTTTCTTGCATTTTTGCTTGTCCATGTGTGTGTCCGTGTGTATGTTTGTGTGTATGTTTGTGTGTATGTCTGTGTGTATGTTTGTGTGTGTAGAACACAGTGGATAAGCTGATTAAGAAGACTAACCTTGCTCTGGTGGTGGGCAGCAGTAGCTGGAGAGAGCAGTTTGTCAATGCTGTCACTGTCAGTGCAGGTGAGTGCCTCTCTCTCCTTCACTCCTAAATCTCAGGGGCAGACTCATTAACGCTGCATGGTCTTGCATTAACAGAGAGTCAGAGGTGTGTTGTTCAGGGCAGAGAAATCACACTGGGAGCAGTAATGAAGTAACAGACATGCAAGTTGCTGTTCAAGTTGAAGCAACAAAAGGGTCATGAATTTTGAAACTGTGTAAACACCTCTCTCTTTCTCTCTCCCAGGTGATGATGATGAGGAGGAGAGTGGGGAGGAGCGCCTGCCATCCTGTTTCGACTACATCATGCACTTCCTCACAGTGTTCTGGAAGGTTCTGTTCGCCTTTGTCCCGCCCACAGAGTACTGGAACGGCTGGGCCTGCTTCTTTGTGTCCATCTCCCTGATTGGTGTTCTGACGGCTGTGACCGGGGACCTGGCCTCTCATTTTGGCTGCACAGTGGGGCTCAAGGATTCTGTCACTGCCGTAGTATTTGTGGCCCTGGGGACTTCCGTTCCAGGTGGGTGCCTGTCTATCTCTGTGTAGCCTCTCTCTGTCTGTCAGTCTTTCTCTGGGCTGTATCTGTCTCTGTTGTCCGATTTTAAACCTTGCCAGAATCAGTAACTGTTTTCTAACCAGCTATTTCTGCTTCCTGCATGTTCTCCCAGACACCTTTGCCAGTAAAGTGGCAGCCATCCAGGACCAGTACGCTGACGCCTCCATCGGCAACGTGACAGGCAGTAATGCAGTGAATGTGTTCCTGGGCATCGGCGTGGCGTGGACCATCGCGGCCGTCTACTGGAAGACCAAGGGCAAGAAGTTCCTTGTGGAGCCAGGCTCGCTGGCCTTCTCTGTCACCTTGTTCACCATCATGGCGTTCGTGTGTGTCCTGGTGCTGATGTACCGCCGCCGGGCCGGCGTGGCAGGGGGCGAACTGGGGGGTCCGCGGACCGCGAAACTCCTCACCTCCCTCTTCTTCTTCTCCGTCTGGCTCATGTATATCATGCTGGCCTCCCTGGAGGCCTACTGCCACGTGCCAGGCTTCTGAGAGACAGACAGAGCGCGAGAGCGAGAGAAAGAGAGAGAGAGATTGAAGGAGAAAGCTTGTCTCCTATTGTTTACATGTCTATCCTGCTCATTTTTCTGTACTTCTCTGAGTGTTTTAAAGTATTTCTATAGTTTGTTATTATTGCTACAGTGGTTGCTTGACTCTGAAGACTTCTATCCAATTTACAATGACGTGGATGGCAGCCTTAGTCATTCTGTTGGAAGCATACTGGGACCAGCTAATGACTTGGTGTATATCTTGGGAGGACTCATGCCTTGAGGCATAGCTTTATCTAACCAGGCTGTCTGCACAAACGAGGGAAATAAAATGACCCTTGACTCTTCTGAGAATGCTCCCGTTTTGTTTATAGCCTATCCTGAACCCTTAGCTATTTTAGCCCCACTGCCTCTTTCCTGCATCTCTGCATTCAGATAGAGTACGGCCCTAGTTAATCAGTCTGAATGTCTTGGAGATTATGCACACTGACTCAGAGATCAGAGCTGGATCAGATCCTCTCTCTCCCCATGTCTTAACATTGGTTCCTGGTTGACCAACTCTCTAACCCCTGATGCCCACCAAGCACAATCATTCCCATGAAGATTCTCAGCCTCTGCCCTGAACATTGACTACTTCCCTCACCCTCATCCTAACCCTCTCTTCTTTTTCAACAACGTCATGTAGTTGTCTTGTGGAAATTTTTGAAAATGATGCCAAGATAGTAAAGATGTTTGAAAATCTAAGTGTTTGTAGATAAAACAATGCCATATATTATCTTTGAACACGGTCTAAAAAGACAACTTGTGATGGGAGTTGTGAAGTGGAAGAACTACAGTTTGCATGGTATTGCATTAGAATTAGCAGCCACTGAGAGCGAAAAATAATGTCAGATGCTATTCAGGAAATGGAGATCAGTTGAACAAAGCTGTTGGTGTTTGTTAATAAGATTAATATTCATATTTATTATCTCAAACTATTTATTGTATATCATGTAAAAGATAATACTACTACTAGTTGTGTACATGTGAGAGAGTGAGACTGTGAGTGTTCTTTTGCATGTATTGAGTGAAGAATTGAATGATAGAAACATTTTGAAGTATTGTATGTAAACTTTTTAATACGGCTATCATCATGAGTGAAAGTCTAGATGTGAATCCAAGCTAAGCACAGCAACATATGAGTATCACTGCCTGGTTCCCTGATCCAGACTCTGTCTGGGGACAAACTCTTAGTCTTGTAAGGACTTCTTCCAATAGCCTTCTTTTTTTTTTTTTTTTACAGGACACTAATCTATGTGAGACAAAACCTGCCAGAGTTTTCCTGATTCTTGAAAAGTGTGCTTTGAAATATAAATTGGGGACCATGTTGAAGCAAATTTTTTCCTAAGGTGTTCTATGAGTGTGTGAGTGTGTGGATGTGGATAATTCAAGGTATTTGTACTCCTTGTCTTCAGAGTTTGATGGAAGGCATGACTTTATACCATCAAAACATTTTTACTCAAGGGGGTATAGATTTCAATGATGAAATGTCTACACTTCTGAGTTATGTTCCAAGGAATCCTCTCAAAAAATAATTTTATCCGTCACATTCAGGCTTTGAACATATTTCAGCTACATGTCAAAGCACTGCATAGGAGTACAAAAAACGTTTTTAAAGCGTTAGTTTATTTCCTAAACATAGCACATACATTCCAATATACAGGTTTGAAAATGGTAACAAAATAACTATGACAATACTGTACTGTTATGAAAAAAGACCACAACCAAATTATTGCCAAACCTTCCTATAATTTGCATAAGGACAGTGTGTAGACCTTATGTTTGAAATCTAGGATCCTCAGATCCATTCTTATCATTTCTAGATGTATTCATAATTACATGATCATTGCTGCTTTTATTTGGATTAATATGCACGCTAAATGTATGATCAATGGAAATAAAAGTTGTTTATTTATTATTTCTCAAAATTGAGTTTGGTTTATTCCTTAATCGGGACTCGGATCCCTTTTCAATCATAACTGGTGGCTGAGCTTACAGGATATGTCAAAAATAGCATTTAGTCCCATCCAGAGAGAAAGCATGTTTGGATCAGTAAGCTGCTAAGTTTCTTATTGATTCACGTTGGTAAACATTGTTTTGTTGAATCTAAACTGCATTTGGCAGTGTAAGTGAATGTGCTTGACAGGTGAACCTGGATACCACTGCATGACTGATTGAGTAGGTTAAGTAACATAGTTACTGCACTCTTAGAAAGACAGATTCCAAAAGGGTTCTTCGGCTGTCCCCATAGGAGAAACCTTTTTGGTTACAGGTAAAACCCTTTTGGGTTCCATGTAGAACCCTCTGTAGAAAGGGTTATACATGGAACCCAAAAGGGTTCTACCTGCAACCAAAAAGGGTTCTTCAAAGGTTTCTCCTATGGGGACAGCCAAAGAACCCTTTAAGATTCTAGATAGCACCTTTCTTTCTAAGAGTATGCCATACCTGACCCATCTCTGCGCATTCATTGCTCTCTCACTGTTCACTTTTTATTCACTTTAAGAGTTTCTATAAATAACTTTTCTTACATTACATAATCATTAAGCGTAGTCTCTGCGCCCTCATTTCCTCGCCCTCCTCCATCTGCTCTGATCAACCTGGAACACATGCTTCAGGAAGTTTTCATGATGCTTGTTGTGGTTAGGCATCCCAATGGATCACACACCACAAGTAGGGAATTTATAACTTTTTGCTCTAACCCTCTCAGTGGAGTCCCCGTTTCTCCACAGACAATACATTTTCCTGGTCTGTGACAAGGAGGGACGTCTTTGACATGAACCACTTTTCTTTGATCCTTGGGCTGCGACAGCAGCTTCAAGTAGAGCGAGCGTTCTACAGGAATCCTACAGGAATCTTGCAGGAAAAAATCTACAGGAAGTCCTGTAGTTGATCAGTTACATGTAGTTAGTTAACGTTAGTTGGACTTTAATTCACTGAACAGTATTAGAACACTAACATTTTAATTCAGTCTCAGAGTTATCAAGCACGAATCTGAGTCAGGTCTGAAGTCATAGTCTGACTCAAGTCACAAATCTATATTTTTGCGCCTTAGGTGTGACTCAAGTCTGAGACTCAAGTCCCCAACTCTGGTAGCGTGTAACTCAAATCAACTGTGGGGATAGTAAGTCTGCCTCTACTGAATGCCTGTGTCTCTCAAATAAGTTCCTGGAGGCCACAGAGCTGGCTTGCTTTAAAAAGCAAACCAAAGTCAAGGTTATGCCAATCAAGCCACAGAACGCGTCAATTTGGGCAATTGTGACTCTGTTGGAGTGAAACCATGGCACCTGTGTACCATGCAGCACCTGGCATGATTCCCTCTTCATCAGTTGGTATTTTCCCCTATTACCCAGTCCATGCTAGTTACTATGGTGTCTCATCAGTGGAATGCTATTTTATGATCTCTCTCTTATCTATGAGAGTAGCAATGAATGTAAATCATTTAGATGCTGGACCTGCTGCAGCCAGATGTCAAATGTCACAGCTCAATTGTTATTCCAGACAGTTTTCAGTATCAAGAGTTGGTTTGACACCAAGCACAGCACAGGAGGGTAAAGATCACAATTCAATTTCAAGAGCATGTATAGTCAATATGAACAATCAATATACTACTAGCTAGCACAGCAATGCATGTATTATTCATTCTGATCTATTGGATACTACACTTGTAGGAAAGTGTAGTAATCAGATTTGTTTTGGGACATCACCAGAAATACTGTAGGAAAGGGGTATGCGGCACGCCTGAGAGTGGGGTTTCCTGCTCTGTAGCTTCAAAAGGATTTCTCTGGTCACTAGGTAGCAACAAAAGTTTATGTGCTTACATTTCAAAGTGTGTATCATACATTTATTCATATACTTGTAGCAAATACAGGCAATATAAAGTGCGCACCTCTGCATGTATTTTTAGTTCTTCTTGTTGCTAGGCGACCTCTCAAAGAGTCATTGTCTTTCTGTCATTGCGTTGTCTGGTATCAGTGCAGTGAGGTAGGCGTGTTCGTTGTAATTTCCATTTAAGGTAATTCTCCTCGTCTCTCTCTCTCTGACTCACTGCATATAGAGTAAATGAGCTATTGTGAAGCAGTTCATCTTTTTCAAACAAAAATAGGTATCTCTTCATTTTTGGTTAGGAATGTCATATTGTTGGAATGCAGAGAGAGGGACCCCAGGAATAGACTCCGAGAGCCTGAACCCAGAGAGAGAGAGAGAAAGAGAGAGAGAGAGCTCAGGAATAGACTCGGAGAGCCTGAACCCAGAAAGAGAGAGAGGGAGCTCAAGAATAGACTTGGAGAGCCTGAACCCAGAGAGAGAAAGAGAACTCAGGAATAGAGTAGGAGAGCTTGAACCCAGGGGCGGATGCCCAAGGATAGAGTCATGATAGAACCCCCATGAGGAATGTTTAGCAGCACAACTACTACATGATATAATGGCATATTTATTTATATGATGCAAGTGCAACTTCCTATGTAAAGAGTATTTTGAGAGATGCACTGTTTGTGTTGTGCTCTGCATTATATTAGTATGGTGCTATGCTTTGAACTCTTTCAGTTGATATTGATATATTTGGCTGGCCAGTTTGTCTTTTCAGCAATCCTATGATAATCTGGCCTTTTATGAAATACTATTTTACAGAAATTCCTATTCATCACCCAGTGGTGGACTCAACTAAAACATTTAGTAATTGTTATGTCGTTTAGGAAAGTTCAATCTGGAAGGCTGGTCTGAATGCTCGTTTAACTTCATCCAGTAAGCAGAACATAATTCAATTTGTTTCCTATTCTACGGGCATAGTGGGAAGGAATACAAGCTAACATCTTGTTTATTCTCCTCTTTCCTATTAGCCATGTGCGGAATGTCATTCAC